TTGTCCACACATGAAGGGTTCTGATGTGGATGGGACCACTTTAAGCTAATTATTCACATTTTTGATAAACTAGACAATGTTGTTTTATGGAGCCTGTAAGCATTGTCCTTCGTACTTAGTGTCACATTACGCTCTAGCTTTGGTAAGTTTTCCCAATTTATATAGCAGTGTATATAAAACAAATGAAGTGTGTTAATAGAGCTATTAGAGGAAGTTTTGTTCGATACCTTCCTTCCCTATTTTACTTGCATCATTTGAATCATCCCCATTTTAAGCAGCCTTCTCCAAACATCCAGGTTAGATGGCACTGGATCCATCTCTGGTAAACGATATAGAAGAAGTTTTACGTGCTAGGACACTTGAGAAAATTGCAAAGAATTTCAAGCTTCTGTCTTGTAGCTTGATTACAGAACAATAGTCCAAACAACGTGTAATATTTGTTACTAGCCTTAGCATGAACAGTTAAATTTTTATTAAAATATAGAAAATTATACTTATAACAGTAGCAAGTTAATGATTATTAAGAACACTGAACAGCGTGAATTTCTTTTCTGGCATTAAAATATCAGGTATTAAAAGCAAACCTAGCAAATTTGCACAAGAAACATGGAATTCTAAAACTGTGAATTAACAAATGAAAAAAATACTTTTAATATATTTAGATTTTATAGTTAAGAATATTTTACTAGTGCAGTATCTTTTATAAAAAAAAAAATAGAAGTTTCAACGGGGCTGTGCTGCATGGAGCCCAGAATCAGCTGGAGTTGGTACTTCAAAGGGCAGCGCAAGTGAGCTGGGCTTGATCCAGCTGATCCCTGGCTCTGTGTTGCAAAGCCCTTTGAAGTATCGGAGCAGCACTTCCAAGGGTCTTTGCAACAGCGGAGCTGGGGATCAGTCCCCAGCTGATACCCGGCTCCGCGTTGCAAAAGCCCTTTGCAATGCGGAACCAGACATCAGCTGGCGACTGATCTCCAGCTCCATTGTTGCAAAGCTTCTTTGAACTGCTGGAGCTGCACTTCAAAGGGGCATTGTAATAGGGAGCTGGGGATCAGCTGGGCACTGTAGCTAATTCCTTGGTCCGCTTGTGCTGCCCACTTCAAAGAGGCAGCGCAGCATTAACGCCTGCGATAAACGCATTATTTTTTTAAATGCGTTAATCCTGTCCTTCGTTAATCGCAGGCGTTAATGCAGGTCAATTGACAGCCTTAGTATTAAATCTTACTCTAGCATTTACTATTAACTTTTTGAGAAGACAAGTGCTTTTTTTATACAGTGTAGATTAGCAATGTTCCAGTAAAACTTTTCCCTCAAGAAGAAAGCATAATATCATGTGAAAAAAGCTGTACATTATTCATTAATTTTCTTCTTGTCAAAGGCACACAATAGTATGGTATTCCACTCCAACTGTGAATGTACTTTGTCGTCTGATGCCAGTCCCATCATACTTGAAAATTATTCACAATAGGGATTGTGAGTGAGAGTTTATATTCTCCATCTATGGACTAACACGTATCATCAGTTCCATCATTCACTTTGCACTATCTGTGACTCTACATTGCAGTCTTGCCTGACCTGCACCTGTGCATATTATTGCTGTGTTGTTGGATGGACAAAGCAGAACTTCTGGTTGGCAGACCACTTAATAAAAATATTAAACTATTTCCTTTTGCATTTCATTATTAAAACAAGCAGTTATATTTGTCTTCTTTTTTTGTTTGGGGGACAATTAAAGTTAAATATATTTTGTTCGAGTCCTAATAATAATCAGATTTAAGGTTTAGATTCTTGCAAGGTGATTAATGATCACTAAAATGGTAACTTATGGACCAAAATCAGCCCCCCCCTTCTTGCAAAATCATGCTGTAAGAAGTGTGCACCTCAGTATCTATTACACACAAGTTTGAAGTCTTTTTTTCTTGAAGAAGGTATAAGGGAATAGACTGACCAAATACCAAATGTAGCAGGCAGACCATTTTACTTTTTAAAAAATGCCACATTTTTCACCAGAAATTGTGTGGGTATTTGAATTGAATGGTATTTGCACATCAGATATTATCAATAATTAATTTTAAATTATTAATAAGAATAAAACAGTTAATTTGTACTGTTAAAAATCTGGACTGACAAGGCCTTTTCCCAAAGGGCATGAATTAATGTTCTTTGTTTAGGTAGTCTGGATAGGGGACTCCCACCTTTGTGTTTATTCAAGTCACCGTTTTACTGGCAAGAATATGAAGTTTGGTATGAATATCTTTTGCACTTGCTCCTGAAAATCAAGCTGAAGATTTAAGAGTTTTTTAAGAATGCAGTAGACTTTTGGATTCTCTGAGGGAATGAACACTCAACACAGCACTAACAGATAAGTGACTGATTTTTAACTACCATATATTTTATGATTACCCAATATTAGATCTAAACTTTATATTGTGATTTACGTGTTCTCTCCTCTTATTTCTAGATAAGTTCCAGTTTACAAAAGTTCCAGTCAGGCTTGGTAAGCATTCTTCTCTTTTCTTAATAGCAGTATTAGTTTCACAGAGCATAAATAACTGCTTAGTTGATGCTTAGTATTTTTTTTTCCTCCAGTCCCTCCAAAGTTTACCACATTCTTTCATGCAAATAATTAGTAAATATCATTAATTGGAATTAGAATATACATCTATATTATATTTACTCAGTTTAGGAGTTCAAATAACTCAGCACATTATGTTTCTTTATAATATTTCTCATGTCTCAGAAATGTTTTGTTTCTGTTGCAAAACTGATCCCGATTTTAGACACCAGGAATGAATTTTGTCCTAATCTATAATGAGTTCAGAACAGTCTTTTAATGCAGGGTGTATTGTACCTATAAGTCCATTGTGTTTTTTAATGCAACTTTTTCCTTTAATTTACAGCATTGCGGTCTGGTGTTTTCTTATCACTTCATGCCTCATCCTTTGAGTGGCCTATCCGGATCCTTTGGTTCCTGTTTCTGCCTGTGTCAAGATTTTTTTTTTTTCGGTTCTGTTTCCCCACATTTCCAAAGATCTCTTCTGCATCTTTTAGGCTTTTACTATTGTATTTTGTTTTTCACTTGTTTTCCTAGATTTTATTGTGGCTCCATCAAAGATTTCCCTTGGATCACTGACAGTTCTGATGTTCCTTTGTGATCTTTACTAGTGAAAAATTTTCCTTCGTGGAAGCTTCCTTGAAGTACAGGTCACACTTTTTAAATTACTTTCTCAGACCTAACTATCCCTATTAAAAGGTTATTCTAATTCTTTATCGTCACAGTATAAACTAAAAATAAACTAGGGATGTGAAAGGTTAACCAGTAAGCATCACCCTTAATAGGTGATGCTTGGTTGTATTTTACCAGTGGGGGGTTGGAGCAGATTCCTGCCTGTTGTGGGTAAGGGGTTGTTTCAGTCCCCTGGGGCCTGCCACAGACAAGGGTGTTCTAGGAATCTGGAGCAGGCCCTGTCCACAGTGAGCCTTGTGGGTGGGTAGGCAGGGGCTGCTCCGGCTAGTTGGAGCAGGCCATGCCTGTGGTAGGGCGGCCACTCCAGCCTTGCTATGGTGGGTTGGTGTAGCACTCCAGCCCCATTGGGCTGGAGCAGCCCCCCTTAAATTGGTTAACCAGTTAAACTTCACATTTAACCAATTAAACTGGATTTATATACCCTAAAATAGACAACTAGTGAGAAAATGATGGCTATATATTTAACTGATCTATCAAAATTAGATTGACACAGTGCTTTCTAAGATAGACTGGGTAAAACAAATATATTGTTATAAACAACGGAGGGCACTTCAGATTTGTGAGATGTTTGATCCACCCCTTCTTCCTATTATTGACATGCAGCCACATTCCCAAGTCATGTATAGATTTTTTTTCATTAAGCAATTTTTTGTGGCCTGTGTTTGATCTTAAGTAGCCATTCTCTGCCAGAGTGCTGAATTGGTTGGCCCTTCCCAATCCACATTATTAAAAGAGCACTGTCATCCTACATTTTTATATAGACTAATTTTCATTTATTTCTTTTTCTGAGACCACTTTAAAAACTGTCCTAAAATTATTTTTTTTAAATCTCTTTTAGTTTTTGTATAGGATTTTTCTGTTCCCCAGTTTGTTTATTAAGGCTCTGTACAGTTATTCAGTTTCTTGCTAACTGACTAGTAAAAAACACAGCACTTGTGAGTGCTCAAAGGCACGAAGCATATAAACTGGAAAAAAAAATTTAACTTTTCATTTAGTAATCTTTGGTGTTCTTGTTACAATAGTTACACAATTTACAAATTTTTTAAGATGAACATTTCTAAAATTGTTATAACAGATTCATTTTTAAAGACAATTTTTTGTTGTATACCAGTCCCTCACTTGTGCTTACATCAAATTATTATTACTTATGTATTTAAATCCAGTCTTTAATTTCCAAACTTATAGGGAAGGGTAACAGTTTGTGTGCTGTATTTCTTCTATGAATGGATTTTTGTGTGTGTGGAGAATGTGTGTGTGGCTTGTTCTGGTACTATCCCATTGTTCAGCAATGTAAAGCAATGTAATGTGTTAAGTTATACGGTCATGTATTCCTTTTTGTGAATCTAAAATAAAATTATAAAGCACCTATTGTGTGAAGTTTGAATCATTTTATTTTAATGTAACCTGTTATAAGCACTTGCACAATTGGCACATAAAAAGTGACTTAATGTTTAGCCTATAGGGTTGGTTTTACTAGTTGCTACAACCTCTTAGCTGCTGATATTTTATTGGAAATAGTATTGCTATCCTAACTTTTAGAAGTTCTTCTCTGCTGCATTGGTAACTAATTACTTTAGTTTTTTACCTGTTGGCAGTGCAGAATTATGTATATAATAGTACACTTACAGTAATCGCTAATTTAAAAAAATCAACAAAACACTATACTGTTTATGGTCTCATATTTAAACTTCAATATTGTTAAAATTAGCTTCTTCTAAGCTTACTTTATCACTAATTAAACTTTTTTGTATTTCAGGGAAATGAGGCAAGCTATCCTTTGGAAATGTGCTCGCACTGTAAGTCCATTCTTTGTTACTTCTTTGTGTGTGAGAGAGATTCTTGCTGCTGGTGCCAGGTTCTCTGCTAGTCCCTTGGGCCCCTGGGGCGGTTGGATGCCAGTTGGTCCCTTACTCCTTCATTCAGGATGTTTGAGGGGGCATGTGACCCTTCATCTTCCCTCCCTCCCACATGTCTCGCCTGAGTGGAAGGACCCAGGCTCACCACAGTTGCTCACCCACCTCTTCCCAACTCTGATTTGGCCTGGGGCGTGGCTTCAGAACTGCAGCCTGGCCACAGTAAAAACCATGTGGGGAGTCATGGTGGATACACTCAACTGCCCTTGGTGTGGGATCCTTCTAAGAGGAGCCTCTAGCCCTTGTCCCTGGTTCCCTGACACCCCTATGGCTGGTGGAGGATCACTGGCCAGCCATGTGGTTCTTACCATGGTTGGGCTGTGGCTCTGAACCGCCCTCATACCTTCTCCAGCCAGAGTCGTGCAGGTAGCTGTGGTGTGTAGGGTGGAGTTGCAGACCATATATCTACCCTGGTTTGGGCAGGGACTCAGGCAGGGGCCTACTCTCAGCCCCATTGCCCTGCACTAGAGGGTCCATGCAGCTCTCACAACTGCCTGAGCTGCACGGTAGCTGGAAGGTGGGGTTTGTGGGGAAAGAGAAAGGTAAGTGGGTAGGATTTGCCCCAGTGAAAAGTGGATGGGTGGGGCCTGTCCACTTTCAAAAAGGGCCCCACTGGACCAGCCTGGTTCTATTGCCTCTGGGGCACTGAAGCTCTTCTAGTTGGAAATAGAAACTAATGGAATCTTGTATTCTTTTTGAAGCAATCTTCATTATATGCAAGGAATGTACGAAGTTCTTCTCCAAATGCAGAAGGAACCAAGACTAAACGAGCAGTTTCTAGATAACAGCCCCAAGCCTCTTTAGCAACACCAAACCCTAAAGTGCTCTCTGTGGCTTTTATGACAGTGCTCACAGATATCCTGCTTGGTTTTCTTGCTTTTGGCCTCTGCCTCTGTCTTGGTCTGTTCTTTGTGTGTGTCTCTCTTCTCCTACTCCCCAGCCCTCCCGCACAAACCAATACTCGGCAAAAATTCCTGGACAAGCTTGTGTCTTTGTTGGGGGACTTCTAATTAACTCATCCTGGTAATTTGGCAGAGCAGTCTAGCCCTGTGGATAGGACCTGTTGGGCCCAGGGTGTCTTGGGTGATTACCTGGGGGGCCTGGCATAGCAAGTGGAGTGAGCCAACCCCAGTCCTAGTTCCAGTCCACGCTGTTCGCTTGAGCAATGCTGGGCTTGGAATAGCAGAGGGGTCCAGGCTGGGGCACTCTGCTTCCTGCTGCTGTGGTGCAGTGAAATGTAGCAGGCTGGGAGATGGTCAGCTGAGTAGGCTGCTGGGTTGCTCTGGCTCTCCACTGACTGCTGCTACCTCACTCCAGGCACCCCAGGTAATTGTCAAGTCACATAGCTCAGGGGAGGAAGTGTCAGGGAAGGGCTGCAATGGAGTTGAAGGGGACAGAGCAGGGGTAGGAAGAGGTGTGGAGCAAGGGTGGAAGAGTGGGACTTGGGGAAGGGGTGGAGTGGGGGCAGGGCAGAGGTGGAACAGGGGTGGGAAGAGTCAGGTCCTGGGGCAAGAGAGCATTGCCCAATGTCTTGGTCCCTTTATGGATGGTCCTGCAGTTATGTTAATTGAAGGGTGCGTTCACATCGAATCTCAAATGTTTGTGAACCAAGCAGTCGTCTGCATCTCAGTATAATGGTATGTATTGAAAAAAACAAAAATCCAGCTCATCTAGGGTAGAAGTCAAAGGATGGCGGGCATTAATTGGTCAAGAAGGATTAATTTAATTCTACCTTCCATTTTTCAGATTGACAAACAAGCGTAGGCTATAACCAGATTCTTAATATATGGCCTTTATTCAAAACTGAAATCTCCTGCTTGAGAAGAAGCAACTAAAACTTAATACTAGCTTATACTATGTGTAAAAAAAACAAACAAACTTGAATCAGGTTAGATCAGGATATCAACATGAAAGCTTTATCATTGCAAAAAGCCATGAAGAAAACCTAGTTTTTGTACGATGTGTTTTATTTTGGTATCCAAGACTAACATCTCTTTTCTGTACTTCAAATTGTAAATGGCACATCTGAAACCATTACACGAATTAAACCAGCTGTGTGTAAGCATACACAACACAAGTGGCTAAATGCATTCTCAGTGCTATTTTTTTATATATATTTGACTTCAGATTGAAATAGAGACTCTTGGTTGTTCATTCTGAAACATTTGTATTTATGCATCAGATTCTGTAGAAGTGAGAGCTTTGATTAAAAAAATCTTTATTTTGAGATCTCTGCATTACATTCTAATGAGAAACTTATCTTAAATAGCTTATTTTTTAAAATACATTTTAGAGTATATTTTGTTCTCACCAAGGCTATCCTCTAGCAATTTTTTTGAAGATCCACGTTCAGGTTGACAGATTTAAAACAACAGAAAATAAGATGATTTGCAAAACTGCCACCTTTATACCATTTACTGTTGTTATCTTTAGAGTGCCTGAATTTTAGGTTTCTAAATCCACATTTAGGTAACTTATATGTCTGGATTTTCAAAGCCTGGAGTGCTCTCCATTGAGGAGGTGCAAGGTGCTCAGCATGCTTGAAATTCCGAGTCTCATTTAAGGCATGATTCAAAGCTCATTAAAGATACTAGGAGTCTTTCTGAAACCTAAAACTAACTTTAGAGCACATTTTTTAACATTGGCCTTACCATTTGCAAAACAATGACTAGCAAAAATATCATTAATACAAGCTTTTTGGGAGACTTTTTGTTTTTAAAAATATATAGATGTAAAGTTCTTTGCTGAAGTGCCTATCGCTGTAGTATCTTTGCACTGATTAGCATATGTTGACAGACTGCCAGCAAGAATATTTCATCATTTAAAACATCATGGATTGGAATATTGATTTTCTTTCTTTTACCATTGTGTTAGGGCCAATCTGCATGCCATTTTAGAAGGAGAACCCCTGTACTTTGGAATTCTTGCTACGTATCTGGGAGATTATCTAGCCCTGAGTGTCTAGTAGGGTTGTTAGAAAGTGGTTATTTTAATAATTGTGTAATCACTACATTTCTTAGTGGTTACCAGGTTACTTGATGCCCCTTGGGGCCAGAGTTAGCAAGCAGTGTGCTCCCGTCGCCACTCCCGGTGAGCACCCTGCATTGCTGCCTCTATTATCAGAGAGAGCAGTGAGGGGTAGCAGGTGGAAGCAGGAGACCATTTAAAAACCATCTCTCTGAATAGACTGGCTCCAGCCTGATGCAGAGGAAGCAGCTCCTGGCCACGGGACAAATACTTATCGATTAAATGGTTAGCCAGCTAGTGGTTAACATCCCTAGTGTCTAGTACGCTTAAATTGAATTAGAGAATTCAAATAGTTTAAAAAAAGTTTAGATACTCATAGTATTCGTTCTAGATTCACTTTTAATTCTCATCAAACCAAGAACATGTATTCCATTGCATTTTCATGAATTTATGCAAGCGTTTAGAATCCTATGCATCTTTACATGTTTACTAGTAAGACATGCTTAATAGTTGGCTCTGGAGTTTAACAAAAAAAACTGCTTGGATGAATAAGTAAGTAGTTAGTAATAGAGTACTTCTGTTGAGAAATACTATTAAAAATCTAAAAAACAAATAGTCTGGTAGCACTTTAAAGACTAACAAAACATGTAGATGGTATCATGAGCTTTCGTGGGCACAGCCCACTTCCTCACAAGACTGGAGTTGGATGTCCAGAACCAAAAATAAATAAGGTAAGGGGGAGGAGGAAGGCGAAGAGGGGGGAAAGAAGCAAAAAATTGGAGGGGAGAGGCAGTGGGTAGATAAATTTCAAAGGGAAAGCCGAGCCAGTATGTAACAAGAAAAGCTAAAAATCAGCAAATAGTCTGTTAGCACCTAAAGACTTGATAGTTAAGAGGCAGATAAAAACCCGTTTGTTTGCAATGTAAAGGAAGAGTGTTAACACTAGATTATACACAGACTTACAGAACCATAGGCATCTTCGTTGGTTGGTTGATAATGTCCCAGCCATCCAATATTGTGATTTAAAATATTAAAAATCTAGATGGTGTTTTAAATGGGAATTTCCTGGGTTTTTTTTCCCTCGTTCCCTATTTTAAAAATATATATTTTGCTCTGCATTGTTTTTTCTCCTATACTGAGGATTGCCATCAGGAAAATGGGTCAGTTTATATACACCAGGAACCTGTGATGCCCTGTTCACATAGGTTTGAGAGGTCCCTCTCCTGCAAGGAATTCATTTTAGTAACATCTGGACATTTGTGCTGCATCCATTTCCTCAATGTGGTCTACATTCCACAGAAGTATACCTTTTGTTGGCAGCTAAAAAACAGGAACTGAAACTAAAGCTGCTCCTCATGAAGGGAGCTCTGCAGCCTATGTCTGATTTGTACCCAGACTTCTACTGCAGCCTTCCTCTCCAAGCCCGTCAACTGAGGAATAAATCTTCAGATTTTCCATTCAAGATTTCTAAAAAGAGAGCTTTGAGCCCTCATGGTGAGTCCTGTATGAGCCAGAGGAGGTAGTTCACTTTGTTACCAATTGCACAAAAGGCATCTACGTACAGTGCTCACAGATTATCAGTGGTATCTGCCTCATGGATCCATGCAAAGGCCCCATGGGCATGCACACTGGAGCAGCTGTACTGCCAGTTGGGGGTCAGATTTGGAGACTGTGCCACATCTGGGAAGGCTATATTAGTACAGATGGTCTCAGTACCAACGACTGTGAGGTAACCATCATTGGATTGTTCAGTGCGGCGAAGGTCACCAGCTTCCTTGATACTACAGACTCAGTACCGGCAACTAGTGACTGTATTGAATACTGCAGCACCACAACAATTTAGATTCTCTAAGGACCTCATGGTATCTGAGGTACCAGAGTCTGCTCTAATTGATAGCATGGCTCTGTTATGTGGT